TGCCCTCCCTCTTGCCTTCATAGATCTCTGCTGTTGTTAATGCATTCAGTTTTCTTTGCCCCTCTTCCCCCTTTACCACCCCGCTCCCTTGTATATCTCTCCCCCCTCGCTGGACACCGTCCTATCACAGCCGGCGCTACCCGACACATCTCTGGACGCCTCTCCTGGTTTGTCCCCTGGAACAATATCCTGATGCTGACTGAGTGGGACTTGCAGGCTCCAGCATCAGTGATTTTGTTGCAGGCGGCACTCAAAAGCTCCTGGCCGCCCCGGACAGCAATGTGACTCTCTGCTCGTCTCTATTATTATCGTGTGACATCAGAGCTGTAATCGGCTTATTAACATTAGCAGCCTTCCCGGGCGCTAATACCTCTTCTGTACGCGTAAGGAAGGCCGGCAGTTTAATGGGATGGGGGGGATATTGATTACAGGGAAGAGCTGATGAAATACTAAAATTAACATTAACATTCGTTATTTCCCCTTCAAAGGGAGAAGCAAATCAATAAATTAAGCTATATGGTAACAAGTATGAGGACCCCCTTCCCAATGATGGAGTTCAGGGGTCTCCAGTGAAGGTTCTGGTAATCCTCCATCATACAAAGACATTTGTACTAGACGTAGGTCGGGCGGGAGAAGACATAGTCAGTGTTCCAATTCATCCCAAAGGTGTTTAGTAGGTTGAGGTGCAGTGAAGGTTCTGGTAATCCTCCATCATACAAAGACATTGTAGACAATTGTGGTCACAGTTTGGTGAAGACCCTTTTCTGTTCTACCATGACTGTCCCCCGTGTACAAAACCAGCTCTATAAAGACATGGCGTGACCAGCTTGGTGTGGAGGAACCTGGGTGTCCTGCACAGAGGCCTGAACTCAACCATACTGAACAACCTTTGGGTTAAATTGGAACGTTGATTATGAGCCAGGTCTTCTCATCCAACACCAGTACCTGACCTCACAAATGGGCCCAAATACCTACAGATCCAAAATCTTGTGGGAAGGCTTCCTAGAGGAGCAGAGGCTGATCTAGATGAGCTGGATAAGCCCAGTTGTTCACAATGTCTTTGTATGAAGACGTATTAACAGAACCTTCACTGGAGACACCTGAACTCCGTCAATGGGGTAGTGAGGTCCTCGTACTTTGGGTGGTATAGAGTCACTTCTTTTAGCTCCACATACTTTCAGCTGTATAATTTATGTGTGATATTCTATACACTCATTTTTGACCATGTTGGGTATTTAAGTGGACTTTGGGGGTATCTGGCTTTATCTTGTGGCACCTTCCCAACTACATCTAAATCCACAAAGTCTCCGGTAAATATGATGGTAACCTCGTCCAGCATTTGATGACCTCATGCAGGTACTCGGGATCTTGGGCAGGAAATTGGGTTCATTCTTGTTTGCCCCAGAAGAAGCCACCACCAGACATCAGTTCCCTCCTTTTCCTCCCCATAGCTTAAACATGCAGACAAGGCCTAGCCAAACTTGCATGTTTCCATTGATGCCTCAACTGTGCCCATACATCCCAGCACGGTTGCCAGACTCTCTGAATGGTTTAGAATGTGAAGCACAGTCCCCAGTGTTCCCTGGTTCCAAGCCCCGGACTTGATCAAGGGAGTCATGTGACAGAAGCCCCACCCCTGGGATCCACTGTCAAAAGCCTGCTGGACCTGGCTGCAATAGGTTACCTGGAGCTCATATTCAATCCAAATGGACATTGTGACTTTAGCACATTTGAAGTGTTTTTTCTGAATTTCCTTAATTTTGTCTGGGATTGTGTGGGGTTTCCTGAGCCCCCTGCAGGGGAATGTACAGCACATCACGGCCTTGTATAGAGTTCCGTTTGTCTCACCGTCTTTCTCCCTTTTCAATACTCAGCGACCTCGCTCTGCGGAACTGCCTCCTGACCGCCGATATGATGGTGAAAATTGGTGACTACGGGTTGGCCCATTCCAAATATCGGGTAAGCGGAGACGCATCTAATCAATAGCAGCAAATCTGAGTCAAGTTCAATGTTTAGCGGGCTGAAGATGAATTGTAGAAAGGTGGTTGCTGATTGGCTGCTGCGGGTTACTGCCCCCTGCGTCATTGCCTGAGGCTGTATTTTATAGGTGCCTTGCGCTCTCCAGTGACATGAAACATCCACAATGCTGCTGTTTGCTCAGGTAGGTGATGTAGGCAGAGCCGTATTTACTCCCTCTGCTGCCCCAAGGCCAGGTTCCTCAATGCGCCCCCCTACTCGCCACCCCCACAAAGCCGGGCCTTGGCTGGCCTTGTGGGAAATCCGGCCTTGGATGTAGGCTTTAGGTTGCATTGGTGAGCTCGGGAAATGGGTTATGTAACAATGGCAGGGTATATATTTTTTTCATCTTCTCTGCACCTCTGCAATATAAGGATCTGCTAGTTAGTGGCACCTTTTTAGGGGTCAAAGAGCTAAATAAAAAAAAATGTGTCCAAAGCTAAACTTTGTTTCTGGAATAGTTAAAATCCCTGTTTTTTTGAATTCTTTGTTCCATTATGGAGATTTTCTTTTCACTTCCTGTACTGCTGACACAACAGGAAGTGAAAGGAAATCTCTCTCAGTTGTCACTAGAGCAGCCGCCCCCCCCATTAAACGATCTCCCCTCTATTCCTGTTCCAGAGAGCTGAAAAATGTTGGATTCCTCATTCATGGTCATGTTTTTTATGGCATGCAATAAATATCTTATCTGCTGGGTGAACGTTATCGCAAAGTGAAAGCGTCTTTAGGGCTTTAGTCACACCTAGTGCTATTTATTGTCAATGGCGCCGTTGTGATGTGCTGAAAAAAAAAACCCGAGACCGACCCATGGACACACATTGAAAATGAAAGGTGAAAGCATCACAGCGCGCATTGATTTTGTTTTGACCAATGGGAAGCAGTTTTAGGGGAGGAAGCGGCTCTTCAGGCGCAAAAACGGGCGCAGAAGCTGCTGCACAAAGTCGCGCATGAGCTGGTGTTTTTTTTTGAGCTGTGCCGCGCATTTCTGGCCTCATAGACGTCAATGGAGACACCTGTGAATGCGACACCGCTCCAAAAACAGCTCATATTTATATAGCGCCAACAGTCTGCGCATCGCTGTACAGTATAAGGAAGACATTACACTCCCAATACAACACAAGACAAGATGGTAAGGAGGGCCCTGCCCCTGAGGGCTTACAATTTCAGAGGGAGGGGCCAGTGATACACGAGGAGGGAGCTGTGTGGGGATGAATCGTCTGAGAACGTGATGGTTGAGTGGTTAGGTTGAGGTGGGATAGGCTTCCCTGAAGAGATGAGTCTTAAGGGATCGCCTAAAGGCAGTCAGAGTGGGAGATAGACGGACAGGTTGGGGTAAAGAGTTCCAGAGGATGGGAGAGACTCCAGTGAAGTCCTGGAGGCGAGCATGGGAGGAGTTGATGAGGGAGCTGGAAAGCAAGAGGTCTTTGGAAGAGCGGAGGGTACGGTTAGAGTGATGCTTTGAGACGAGTTTGGAGATATATTCGGGGCCAGAGTTGTGGATGGCTTTGTAAGTGGTTGTTAATATTTTGAATTTTATCCTTTGGGCTATTGGAAGCCAGTGCAGGGATTGGCAGAGAGGGGCGGAGGATGGAAGCCAGTGTAGGGATTGGCAGAGAGGGGCGGAGGATGGAAGCCAGTGGAGGCATCGGCAGAGGGGGGCGGAGGATGGAAGCCAGTGTAGGGATTGGCAGAGAGGGGCGGAGGATGGAAGCCAGTGGAGGCATCGGCAGAGAGGGGTTGCAGACACTGAGCGGTTGGTTAGGTGAATGAGTCTAGCAGCTGCATTCATGATAGACTGAAGGGGGGAGGAGCCTGTGTAGAGGTAAGCCAATGAGTAAGAAATGTGAACAGTCACAATAGAAAAGGATGGGATTCTGATGTTGAGCGTTGTAGTTGCGTAAAGAAATGTGCAAAAGCACATAATAATTTTCATGCAGAAACGCGAATAAGCGCAATGCACAAAAATACCAAAAAATGCAAAAAAAAACAAAAACCCTTTTAAACATCTGCA